GTGCGACCCGCCCTATGCGACCCAAAAAGAGGTCGGCTTTCAGAGGGTCAGCCAGGACTCCTTCCTGGCCGTAGTCCTTCTAGTTACACTTATGTCGGCCACGACTTTATCAGTGGTCGCGAGACTGCGGCCCACACAGTCCGGTCTAAACTCCTAAGTTACCTGATAGTCAAACAACTCGCGCCTGCCCGCAAAGTGCATGCTCACACACTCTCTAATCAAGCTATACATACGCCTGCCACTTCTGACATACAATAGTCAGTCGCGGCTGGCGACAACCCCCCCATTCTTTCATGTATCGGCCCAATCGCTTCTTCTGCGAGGTGCAAAAACACGCACATTTACCCTTGTAAGGGTAATGGTGCCGACAACGTTCTAGGAGTGAAAGAAGCCTTCTCTGGCCTTGTTCTTTCTCCCCTGGATCGGAATCTGGGAGCAACGTTGATCGAATGTCCTACACTGTACGGTGCGGGCATGTGAAAAACTTTTAACGATAATCCTGATTTCGAGGAGATAAAGAAATTTGGGAACGACATCTTATGTTCAATGAGGAAGGAATTTAAGAGGCTGAAACTCGATCGAGTGGGGAGGTGGGATTGCAGAGGAAGGATTCAGAACGCGTTCATAATGATTAAAGACAAAGACTTGGATAAAAAGAGGCCCATTTGTCCATCATTCACACACCCAGCTAGGTTTGCGGCAAACAACCTAGTCAAGGTATTGAACTTGCTGATAAAAACAGAGAGACACGGCCACGGCCACTTCAACCTTGGAGCTGGCCAGGATCTGAAAAGCAACCTGAGTGTGGTTAACCGAAGAATAAAAAAATGATGGATTGGATGTGATCATTCGTATATATGACATCAAAGAAATGTTCTCCAAAATCCCTCACGGTGAAGTAAGGAAAGTAATAAGTTGGATTTTTGATAAACAGAGAAGTAAAGGAAGATACTGGGTTCGTGTGAAAACTCAAGGAAAAGGGGCTGTCCTTGGGAAATCTGCAGGTGAGAAAGGATGGAAATCAGTTAGACTGAAGGATCTCGAAGTACTCGCATCCTTCTTGCTGGATAATTTTTTCTTCCAGTCGATGGGATGCCTGTTGAACCATAACAAAGGGATACCGATGGGTGGGCAGGCCAGCCCACCTCTTGCTTCCCTTGTCTGTATGTATGCAGAGAATTGTTTTTTGGAATCACTAGGTAAGGAAAAGAAACGCCTATTTGGAAAACGATATGTCGATGACATATTACTCCTGGGATTCTTCAAAACAGGCGATGATGAGGACAAGGCTAGAACGGAAGCACGATTGAACCTGATCACCAGTTGCTACAATAATGAACTACTCCTCGAGAGAACGGATGGTAACCTCAACATCGTCGACTTTTTGGAGACGAGAATTTTCGTGATAAATAATGCTACGGAGATCCATGCATAAGTTTAAGAATGCTGAGAGTATTTGGTCTGACCCGAAGGCACCCAGGTTTATGGTCACAAGATGGTACCAGTCATTTGGGTCCAGGGAACAGAAATTCGCAGGCATGATTGGTACCTTGCACAAAGTTATCAGCAACACCAGCACTGACGCGCTACTGCCGCTTGGGCTGATGACACTCCACCGTGAATACAAAGGGGTAGGTTTTCCTACAGAAACGATCTTGTCTGCTTTTCGTAAGTTCGCAAAGAGGGTGGGAGGGAGGGTTTTGACCGATTTGGTCGAAAGGCTCATCGAATGGTACAGAATGCACGACGGATAGGTACCCTCTTCGAACTAGTGGAAAGGATTTGGTGACTCACGTGACGAAGCCAGACAGATAACACGCGCACGAATTGAAGGCCTGCATCTGGCAGGTTTAGCAGGGCCCAAGCGACAAAGAAGGAACAAGCGGCTAACGACAAAAGACTGTAGAACCCGCGATCCGAGGTAGATTTGAGCGCGCGATTGCTTGCACTGTGAGCACTTGTCGGAGTCGTATCTTAGTGAGTGCTTGCCGCAATATTTTTTTGGGACTGGTTTTTTGGATTGTTTTATTGTTCCGCGCCATAATGTTTTTTTTGTGTCGAATACACCACGCAGAACACTCTAGGACGAGACTCGACCTAGTATGCTCTAGCGTGGTAAAATGTTTTTGTACGCAAGGGACGGTACTTGGGACTTGTACTAGACCAGAACCGAGTTATTCGGAGTAAAATTAATATTTAGTTGGCGAGCGGACGCCTCGCTTCATAGACTGAGTGGCATAGGGAGAAGAAGGTCTGGAGCATGAGTTCTCTTTCCATGTTGTGTTACGATGCAGTTACGCTGCGATATTAAATATCCACTGCATTGTTATCTTTGAGTCAATCTCTATTATTAGTTATTATGCAACTGGCCATAGTTGCGGCCAAATACATTGATGATAGAGCTAATATGACTAATATGACCAGAAGCATTGATGACAAAGCTAATATGGCCTTGGCAGCAACATGACAAAGAGGGACTGGGGTGGCAAGTGCTCGAGTGAACGAGAGAAAGATGAGGAGAGAGAAGAGGAAATGCAAGCCTGTCTGAAGAAAGGTAGAGAGGCGAAGTCGAGATGGAGGTGGATCCGTTGGCGAGGGGCACAAGCGGTTAACGGGTAGCTGAAAATTCTGGAATGAAAATTCTGAAGTGAGAGTTTTGGGCAGTCTGAAAATCCCGAATGGTCCTGAAGTGGTGAAAGGTCTGAAGACCCTGAAAACCACTTGTTTAGGCAGGTTGCATTCTGAAGTGGTGAAGTGAGAGTTTTGGGCAGTCTGAAAATCCAGAATGGTCCTAAAGTGGTGAAAGGTCCGAAGACCCTGAAAACCACCTGTTTAGGCAGGCTGCATCATGAAGTGGTGAAGGGTGTCCTAAAGTGGTGAAAGGTCCGAAGACCCTGAAAACCACCTATTTAGGCAGGCTGCATCCTGAGGTGGTGAAGGGTGTCATGAAGTGGTGAAAGGTCCGAAGACCCTGAAAACCACCTGTTTAGGCAGGCAGCATCCTGAAGTGGTGATGAAAAATATGACTGTTGTTAACCTTCTCTCGCGAGGGGAAAGTGTTGGAGCTCAATACTGCACAGTTGAATGCTCACTGCAACTAGCGATGGCAGATTGATTCAAGGAAACAGTGAAGTGTGCAGCCATTATGTCCGAGGAAATTGATCTGATCCGTTGATCCTTTCAAGACCCAATCTGGAAAAACTGCTTTTTGGCTGGAGTACACATGTGCTACCTATTGCTAGTGGTAAGGAGATTGCTGACAGCAAGTAGGTTCTGAAAGAGAGGGATTGCGTTGTCCATATCTTCCATAAAAAGAACAGCGCAAGCAAGTCAGGGGTGGCGGCAGAGTGAAATTGCAGGAATGCCCCTAGAGTTTCCCGCAGCTCTATGTGTGTCCCTGTCAACCTGGGTAAATTTATGAAAGTACCCGTAGGGATCCCTGCAGTATTCATTTGTATCCCTGTTAATGAGCCAAATTTTGTGCATGTCCTTGTATACCAGATCTTTTGCAGAACCCTTCCTGACACCTATGCATTACAAAATACACTGATGCACAGCGGATCTCGCAGTTCATTTTTGTACAAAAATAATAGATAGTAAATAAAATGCAATTTTGCCCCAGTAAATCTGAGACTTGGCACGACCTTTGACTCAGGCTCGGCCCAAATATAGTCTGCAGATGTGGACTCTTTATTTTATTTTATTTTATTCTCCAATGATTTCGGTTTACTAAGAGGGCCATTGAGTTCGGCCACAGCGGGGGCGTGACAGGCATACCCGCCCCACTCCCCTGTTACGTGACTGAGGACCTCTGAAGCGGGCACGGCGGCTGACAGACGCCGCTGCCTTTGGCTTCAACGACGAACAGGTGACCACTCCCCGGGTTTCCTCACAGCGGTGTGTTAACCACCGTATCTTTACGAGCTCCGCCTACCCAACAACGAAGGCTGGTGTCACCAGGCAAATCACGGCCTGAGCCTGCTCAGCACGACGTGTCCCACAGCAGAAGTCCACGTCAGGGAAAAAAACCTCCTATGTATTGGTGGTTGAAAGATTCTCAGCGTCCAGAAAAATAGCCCTGTCATTGGCCCTGGGCATTTGGAATTTGGCACATTCAGGAGTAGATTATGCACTTGCACGCCATGATATCCAGGCCATTCTGGCTGGGCCACGTTTTCCCCAGCCATTTCCGTTCCTTTCCACCTTGTTCCCCCTCTCTCTGTGTCGTCCTCGGTTTGTGTTCGCGTAGGCCTAGGGTGTGAATTCCTACGCAATTCTAGGTGTCTACCATTCACCAGACGCCTGCAGGTACGCTCTATGGCTGAAAGTTTATAGGATGAGGGTCGGGCCCCATTCGTGTGATGTTCATGCTTGAAAAGCATGAGCATGGGCGTTCTCAGAATCTACCCTGCAAGGGATACAATATATCACAATCTCAATGTTACTTTTGGAAAATTTGGGCAGTGGAAGTTTTAGAACGGGATCTGCCGGTGATTGCTGGATGCTGTCAGAAAAACGAAAACGAGAAAGAAACATTCAGGGAAGTCCTGGTGAGTATTGCCCTGAATGCTTCTCCTGATAAAATTATCGCCACGGTCTGAAGAAGCAGTGTTTAGTAGTTCTGCCTGAGTCAGGAGAAGATTGTCGAAGTCATAAGGGAGATCGCATTCCAGCCATCAGATATCTTTGTTTGACCTATGGAACCCACAGATGGAGTTAAATTGCCTGAGAGAGGAAGAGGTTGGGTTAATGGCTCCCCTAACCCCTGAACCCTAAACTGCGAACCACGTAGTTGAAGTGACTGAATTGAGAGAGGAAATGGTTGGCTTCCAGAGAGGAGAAGGTTGTCCCCCTGTAAACCCTGAACCCTAAGCCCTGAACATAAATCCTAAATCCTTACAAGCGATTGCATTCTAACAATCAGACGTCTCTGTTTGTCCGTGATGCCCATAGGTGGAGGAGTCAAATTGGGATCCCATTATATCAGGTGTGCTGAGCCGGATGTTTGAGGACCCCTCAAAGGCGATATATGTAGACTTCTTGAAGCAGATTCGAAATCAGTTGGAGAGAAGACCCGGTGTTATCCTTCCCTATATACGAAAGAGAATGTGCTACCAATGGTATGCCTCTCGCGATGTTGTTAGCCCCTATTGTTCGCTATTTGTTTTTTGTTTTTTGAAAGGTTGAGAACAATACCGTTGTCGGCAACCCCTCAATGAACGCTGGAGAGAAGAGCCCATTGGCCAACGCTAATTTGCCAGTGCAGTTGCAGTTCCTGGTAATTGATCCATCTGGCTTACTGCTTGGGTCACCACAAGGAACTCGAGAAAATTTTTTCTGTTTTGTTTTTGCTCCACAGAATAGAATGGAGCTCAGACTACAAGGTTGTGTCATTATTTTTGAAAAAAAGAAAGAGACGGTGACCTTGATTCTGTCACAAAGGAAACCTAAATCTCCAATTCTCCGTACATACCAGAGCCTACATGTTTTTCCGACGATTGGCGGAGTTGGAGCTAGTGAAGTGCCACTGCAGCGAGTTTTGATCCTCCTCATTCAGACTCAGAGATTTGCTCGGTGAACCGTAGGCAGAGAGGCATAAAAGGAGAAGATATGGAGGGAGTGATGGGCTGTTTCGTGGATTTTCACCGACTCATCATGTGGGTGAGCCCTCGACAATCTGCAGGGTTCCCTAACAGATGATACTGTAACTTCTGTAAGTGACCTTAACCCCAGCTGCAGGTGGGGTCCAACCACTGCCCCACATAAGGTTCAATGCCAACTGCATTCAGATTCAGAATGGTCTTTTTTTGGGGGATTTTCCTTTTTGTTTTTCAATTACAATATATCTTGCAAACTCAGCCTTGGCCTGCCATGTTACAAGCCCACCATGTTGTCTCCAGCACTTCATATTCGAGCCACGGCCACCCGGTGGTTGACGCAGTCAGAAAATTCCACCCACTTACAAGAAATGTGAGTGTGTTCTTCAGTATGTACATGTTTCAAATCACATTGTCGAAATGTATTGTTCTTCTCTCCCCATCTGGTCTTCTCATCGCTGTTGTTCCCATCGTCTCCATCGCCTCTTTCATCGGATTTCTTCTCCCTTGTCATGTGAGCATTATTGTCATCCTCCTCCTCCTCCTCCTCCTCTAGTAGTTGGGAGAATTCAATTGACAATAGCATGCAATACTAGTCGTGTTTTCAAACAACGACACATGGTGTGAGCATGTCAAAAAAGCAAATCGCTGCATATGGGTCACTATCATGGCAACATGAGGGTTCAATCCTCCACCTGTCTCCTCTCTTCAAGATGGGTCACTATCAATTACTTAGCTATATGCTGGAAACGCCTTAGAGTCAGAACCTCCTTCTCTTCCTCTCTACAAGATCGGTCACTATCATGGCAGCATGAGAGTTCAATCACTTTGCTATATGCCGGAAACGTGATAGACTGAGACCATCCTTCTCCTCCTCTCTTCAAGATCGGTCACTGTAATGGCAGCATGAGAGTTCAATCACTTTTCTATATGCTGTAAATGCCTTAGAGTCAGAACCTCCTTCTCCTCCTGTCTTCAAGCTCGGTCACTATCATGGCAACATGAGAGTTCTGTAATGAACACAGTCTGGTAGATACTCAGAAGTCGTCAAACACCAGTGGTCTTGGTATCTGCAGCAAAGTCTCCAAATCATGAAATGATATCACAAACAGTAGCTCATTGCCATTAGACGAAGAGAGTGGAGGGGGATCAGACAGAGGAGAAGGTGGAAGAGAAGATAAAAGATCACAAAAGAGTAATCCCATCAAACCCCTCTCCTTCTCCGGGCTTCTTCCCTCTCCACGTCATCAACCAGTAGATGATAACAAGTATAGCAGTCCTGATCACATACAGTAGTGCCACGTGGCACTCTTATCTCGTGGAGACCATGATGACACATCAGATTTCAGTGACGACATCAACCTCAGGTGAGTATCCGACCTCCCTCATCCACAGATCCCGACCTTCCTCTTCCTCGCAACCAGTCACCTCATGTAGACAGCGTGGACAATGCCACGTCAGCAGTCGAGACAGGTGGCCTACGCCACATCATCAATGAAGACAGTGGCACGCACGACTTCAGCAATGTAGACTAGTGGTAGCGCCACATCAGCGTGCACTGTAGACCAGAGGTAGTGCCACATCAGCATGCAATGTAGACCAGAGGCAGCGCCACATCAGCATGCAATGTAGACCAGAGGCAGCGCCACATCAGCATGCCTGGCGCACAGAACAAGAAGCGCCAGCCTGCTGCCTCCTCCTCATGCCGTTGTCCGCAACGCTTATGCACAGCCAGCGTCCTAGCCCGCGTCGCGCCAGCTGCTAGCATCTCGTCAAAGTCAAGCCAGCGTCAAAGCAGCATGGCAAGACTGAATGTTGACCACCTCGAGGCCAGTCTTTAAGTAGCATTTGACGAGGCTCTCTGGCCTCGGGTCTCCTCCCCTCAGTCGTCCAGATTGATTCACAGCCGAAGGCCTGGATTGTACAGTTGCAGACTTTCCCCTTGGACCTGATGCTGTCTGGGTACCTGCATACAAACAAATGTGTGTGTCCGACCGGCGGCCTGGGCTGGGTACATTTTGACTTTGACTGTTGGGGTTTCCGACAGTTGACTTTTGTCAACTGTACCTCGTCCAGGCCCTGAATCTTTTGTTGGGGTCTTTTTCCCCGTTTTGGCTTGGGCCTGGATGTAGCCTGGCGAGGCCCTCATTTTTCCACGAGGCTTACGACATGGGTTATTGCAGTTCAATCACTTCGCTATATCCTGGAAATGCCTTAGAACCAGAAGCTCCTTCAACATAACAATCTTCCTGCCTTTTTCACCTTTGTATTATCCAGCTCTCAGAGAGGCAGTTCCTGTTTAATGCTTCTGTTTCCCCATTGCATGTTTCAGGGCCGTTTTTCTTATTGTTATGCAGTGGCCGAGTGGCACACACTTGTTGTAGCTGTTGATGAGCAGGTCATGAGACCGGACCGTGATAGATATCCATTATCTATAGAAAAAAAGAGGGAAAAGAAAGGAAAAGATTACGCATGCTTGGACGTTGGGTGTTTCTGAAGCAATTGACATCTTTTTCTAGTGTCCCTTGATTGGTGCATGTTGTCCTTGAGCAGGGGCCATGCTAGTCTGCTGTGCATTGTTGCAATTTTTTTTAACAAATTTTCTTTTCATTCAGTTAATTTCGGTGCTCCTCAGACTTGCCTTGTTTGGTTTCTTGTTGTCATTGCAGTAAGGAAGAAACAAAAGCTCAGGAGCAAAAAATACTGAAAAGAAGAGTTGGAGAGGAAGAAAAGCCAAAAACTGGGAGAGCAAGCACTGCCGATGAATGTCCTGCTGGCATGTTGGAACTCCATCTGCATGGAGAGACCTCACAATACCTTGGTCCATTGCTCGCACTGGGTGTGCTTCCAATTACCATATTTGATGACATGTGCTTGAGAGATTTGTATGGTGATCTGGCTAATGATCTTCAAGATCACCGTAAGATTTGTCAAGGTAAGGTGTTTTGTGGGTGGCGAGTGCTTGTTCGTTTGTGCTGGAAATGGTGAAAGGGGAAAGGTGGTAGGAGAAAACATGCTAGCACAGTTGTGTATAACACGTGTCCTTGCTCCGCTGCTTGGTGCAGATGCGATTAGAGACGAATGAAGGAAGCAATCCACCCTGACCGTGTATAGGCAACTCCTGGTTAGTTGACCACGATGTCTTCAACTGACTACGCTACCTTGCAAATTCACAGCTTAGTTTTTCATTCGCATCATCGTCCAGCTTACACACATTGAAACACTAGTCGTTCATTTATTCCATATCTCATGCACCGACCCCGATCCCGTGCACCATACACTCGACTCACACGTGTGACTCCGATCGTGCACTCGACTCGACTTGGTAAACAGTGAAAGGGGAAAGGTGGTAGGAGGAAAAAAACATGATAAACGAGTGAAGAGTTAAAAGCTCTGGTAAACAGTTCAATCAATCAATCAATCAATCAATCAAAATTGAATCACATCAGTTTGATTTGATCTTATTATGAGTCGACTCAGTTTGATTTGATTCATTCCATTTTCCACTTGGTTCAATCCGATTCAGTTTGATTTGATTCCATTCCGATTCATTTTGCAACCTGATTTGATGCGATCCATTTGAAATTTTGAATACTAGTTTGATTGGCTCAATTGAATGTGATTCTAGAGTTGATTTGATTCCCCGTGCGACTTGATTTTTGGGCCGATTTGGTCAAATTCAATTCAATAATTTCAATTGGATGTGATCTGACCAAATTCACAAGCCGATTTGTTTCGAATATTGATTGATTCCTTCTGTGGATTGATGGATTTGGTTTGGGATGGATTTATATTTAGATGGATTTTGATTTGCGTGGATTTGGATTTGCAGTGGATTGGACTTGGATGGACTTGGATTGAATTGGATTTGGATGGACCTGGATTGGATTGGATTGGATTGGGCTGGGCTGGGCTGGGCTGGGCTGGGCTGGGCTGGGCGGGCTGTGGATTGCATTGGATGAATTTGGATTGGGACTGGGATTGAGGCATGGATGAATGGACTGGATTGGATTAGACAGACGTGGATTGATTGAATTGGATTGTGGATTGGATTGAATTGGATTGGTTTGGACTGGATTGATTTTAATTGTGGATTGATTTGGGTTGATCCTGGCCAAGACCAAAGTGCAAATACACAACGACATACAATGCTGTCCAATTGCAAAAAGAAATGAATTGCAGGCCGGGTAGGCTAGGCCTACCGCTAGCGGAGTGCTACCGGCCTAGCCTACTTGCTACTTGAGTGGCCCTAAGCTACCCCTCCGGCTACTTAAGTGGCCACAGGTAAGTACCGGCCCCACGGGCCTCTCAAACACACGAGTGCCCTGGCGGGCCACACACACACTCAGGCAGACGTGCACTCACACAGGCACTCAGAAACCAGCAAACACGCTCACACACAGACTTAGAAATCTCAGCAAAAAGCGGGAATTCTCAGCAGACACACATTCCGGCGGGAAAACTATAAAATCAGCACAGTTCTCAGTCTGTGATTTTGCAGGTCATTACAGTTGGATTGCATTAGATTGGATGGATTTGGACTGGATTGCATTGGATGGATTGGGATTGGGATTGGGTTTGGGATTTAGGCATGGATGGATGGATGGGTTGGATAACTTGGAACTTGGAACCTGGATTGGATTGATTTGGGTGGCATTGCAGTTGGGGCTGGGATTGGCATTGGGGTAGGGAAATTGGACTGGGATTGATGTGTAGATGGAGGGATGGATGCATGGATTTGATTAGTTTGAATTTCATACAATGGATTCGATTGGATTCATGGTTGCATCCCTGCCGACGGCCGACCCCGACCGCCGACCGTATTGCAGCCGACCAGTAGGGCCGACCGGTCGGTGGTCTGCCGACCAGTCAGAAAACAACCATCCACTAATTTTTTTTCAGATCTGAGTTGGAAGCTGTACTGCGCTTGCTGAATACAGCCCAAATCCGCTGAGAAACTTTTGTGGATGGGGGGGTTGGGGGTGGGGTGTATAGGGTGATATAGGGGGGTATAGGGGTGGTA